GTCCTCAAATAAATACTAAATAACATTATATAACATTTTTTTTTTTAAATTGAAAGACCTGTATTTAAAAACGTTCTGATGAGCACCTTCATGATCAACTACTAAGATTTTTTTCGCCTGATCTCCCTCCATTGGAAGCCTCCTACTTTAATCAAAATTGAGTCAATTCGTACAAAATAATAAACTTTTGTGCAAACACTACGAAATGAACTTTATTAGTTAGTGTGTATTTAAATTAGCAGAATTATTTTAATAAACTCGTTTTTCTTTTTTTATTGCTATATTCAATCAAAAGATATACATATGTATAAATATACTGATATCGTAAATATATCAATCTTTTAATAAGTTTATTTAGCTGTTTTTTATATTGCTACTAAGTTTTTAGGATTCCTTTATGTGATCACTCAAGAATTCGTGTGTCCTTCTATTTGTCTGTTACGTCTGTAATAACAAGGAGTAGACACATAAGACATGTGCTTCTAAAAGTACTTAAATTAGAATTATAAAAAATGGACAAACTTTCTACATTTAGTTAGAAATAAATTAAGGAGAGCAAAAATAAATGGGCGATTAAAGTTAAATAAAACATTGGCTTCTAATCATATCTCATATCAAACATCACTAAATCGATCAGAAATAATTCTCTCTTTGATATCTACTTAATTAATTAATTGAATTTAAGCAATGGGGCACCAACGTTCGAATGTTGGGATAACATCCGTGACTTGGCCATTTACTTAGGAATATGTTATTTTCTTTTTGTTAAGTGTTTTGTTGATATGATGGCTCATAGTTGAGTGACTGACTTTGGTCATAAGCCATATGTTGGTGGATTCACTTCTTCAGTCCAATTGTCCAATCTTTCGACCTGTTCTTTGGTGTCCCATTATTTACATTCAATTAATAATCAATTACACATTAAAGAGAGCATTATTTTGATAAATTTACTAACATTTGTGAAACCAATGAGTTTTTAATCTTTGAAATCGCCCTCTGTATAAATTATGGTAGCAAAATTTCTAATTTTGTAAAACAACTTTTTCAGCAGTGTCAAACTCTTACTTGAATTTTGTTTTATGCTCAGTATTGCTCTTTATGATGACCTAGTCGAAGTTTGCGACCTTTAAATATGGTTCGATCATGAACCATTTAAAAAATTATAATTAATGAAAACAATGGCACTCCAAAATTCCACAACTTAAGGTAATAATATAATTAATTAATCGGTTAGTTAGAGTCCCTAGCTAAAGGTGTCACCTTGGGTACCAAAACAATTAATTATATGGTATGAGGCCTAGTAAGTATTTTAATGCGAACGTGATTTTTTTTTTGATATTTATGTTGAATATTGGTGGAAATGGTTCATTGTAACGTAGGAGTTGTTAATATATTACAGTCATTAATTTTAGGCTAAAAATTCTCACTGACTTAGATTAATGTGGGTCATTATTGTAAGGATAGTACCATCAATTTGAAATAAACTAAAGGATTTATTGCAACGCATCCAGCCTTTTTTTATTTATTACATTTTCTTAAATCAAAACAATTAAAATTCAAGGTTGAGATTATTGCGGCAGAAATTCCATAACAAACGAAGGAAAAAGTTTTATTTTAAGATATCAAGAATAAACACTCTTATAATCGTTTTATTTTTCTACGATGAGGAATGCAAATTAACCTTTCACTTTTTTGCGGTTCTACATCCTTTTAATTAATGCAAAAATTTTGGTATAAAAATTGATTTGTTAAAACGATCGTTTTAAACCAAAACCCTAGTTTGCTATCTACATAGATAGACAAAACAGACCCACGTCTAATTTGAATTTTTACTTTTGCTTCTAATAAATATTTTAAGCAACGTGCATGCATATCCCATCCGTTACCTCTTCCTAATTATTATTCGTCGTGCCAACCTACATACTTTTTATTAATTTGACTTTTTATTTTATGAAAGAATTTAACAGACACTTATTTTTCTATCCAATAATAAAAACATGTATATGCAAATAAGTGTTGGAAAAGGAATATTTGTCAAATAAATAAATAACTAAAGCAATTCACCCTCAATATTTATAAAAACGTTATGTAAAAGTAAAAAGCTACGGTACACGTGATGAAAACTTTCTGATTTATAAAAATTACTAAAGTACATGCTCTCACCAAAAGAGATCCAAGCTTTAAGCTCCATTTGCATTTTATAATCCAAGGAGTTCGAATTGCTGGTTACTTTGAAAGCAATTAGGTTCAAATTGAATGTACTTCAAGAACTTCGAGAGACTTTAATGATTTTCAGGCATTCGCGGCGACTATTGATTTGAGTGAACACTTATGTCGTTTCGGGAAGAATATCGTTGCCTTCCTCAGAAGGTCTGAAACAGTTTCAGATCTTCTGAAGAAAGTGATTACATGATTACCGAAACATCTAGAAACCCTACAAACTGATGGATCTTAGAACGCCAGAACTTTCGTTTTCAGTTTAGTTGATTCGTAAATTCACCCTATGTATAGGATATGGGTGCATGGTGTATAACGAAACGATTAAATTATACTCAGCATTTTTTCAAACATTTCAAAGTCTGTAATCTTTGCCAAATTTGTATAAAAATATATTTTTAAGTTCTTTGTAATTGTGTCAACGATAGACCATGAGAGTTTAACGCTTTTGTGTACGTACGATTTTTGCTGGTCAGCTTCCTGTAATCGCGTCGCGTCGCAACTTGCGATAAGATAATTCGTTCCAAAATTTAAATTTCCACATCAAACAACATCGTCAAAGACAAAATGCTACGGCAGACTTAAAAGAGCACGTGGGGATCGTATAAGGATTCGGTTTTACCTTTGGAATTTCGAAGTACGAAATCTACGGTCACAACATGCTCTCTGTTCTCTATAATTTTACGATTCACATCCCAAAATGCGTTTATTTGTCAACAAATCAGATTAGCGACCTAGTTAATTAGTTACAATTTACAAAAATTTACGGATTTACAGTATTTCTCAGCTTTTGAAAACCAAAAAAGGATCAACTTTATACTAATGGATGTGTGATTATTTAATTAATAGAAGATATACTCATTTAATCTGTCTGGATTATCTACTTTATTTTTTTAACAAATTTGAAATGCTAGGACTACATTTTAGGCACTTTATTACACTTTTTAATAATTCTTCTAAGCACAAATATTTCTATTTACCGATACAATAATTGTCGTAAATGCTGAAATTTTCTGTCTTACATACGAGCTTGTCATAACTTTTAAAGAAAATAGTGTCGATAGTTAGTTATAAAAACTCGAGAACTTACCCCTCGTCCAGTGCATAAATTAACCCTTCCTGCAGCCCTAAATTGACCTTTTAGCAAACAAAATAGTGCAATATACTCAAAAAAAGTAAAAAATATCGAAAAAATATAGTTTGCCTCTATTTTTCAATCGTGTGTTATCCTGACTTAAAAGCAAAGAACACTTAGAGGAAATTCTTTTATATAGATCCCTTTTTGTTAACAATGGTAATGTTTCTTTTTTTTAAATTTAGTTTTAAAATCTAGAAAAACAAACTGAAAATTTCAAATACTGAAAATATTCTGTTCATTCTCCACGGAAAGTAATAGTTTTTCATTTAGTCTTGCGTATTTGGTCTTGTTTGTTCGGTCTTGGTCTTGTTATTGTTAGCATAAAGACCGTCTGGCCAAGACTGCAAGACCAAGATCAATTTTGCTTATCACTAGTAAAATTGTGCACTAAATGTTTCTTTTATTACACATAAACAATATCTAACCGTTGAGCAAAAGCCGGCATTACTGACATTTAGCGATATATTTTATTAATTTGAACACTGCAACATCTCTTATTACAAAGAATATTTCAGTACCTGTTAATAAACTAGAGTTTTAATACAGTTTGTTGGTTAGTTTTTCAAAGTATTGTCCTTGGCATCTGGCATGAATTTAAATAATTTAGATAAAAATGAGGAAACGTAACTGAGAAATTTTTGAAAATGTTTTAATTAAAAAGTATATTATTGAATTACTATAGTACCTACAAAGATTGCTATTTCTTAAAATAAATGAGAAAGTTAACAAATTGTGGCAATTTCTAAATAAGCACGTATGTAAACCATTAGCACTAAAAAGACGTTCGCTTTATATTTGACATTTTTTTATGATATAAATTATTAGGAAATGCTCGTAAAATGTTTAGCTCGTAAATACACTCTAAATTTGTGACAGAATCGTGCCCTTAAAACCTGATTTTAACGATTCCCGAAAATAGTAAAAGCTGATGTTGACGAGCGCTGTTACAGTTGACAAAATTGCACAACTTTCTCGCGAACATCCTGTAACTCATCACAGATATGTTTCATGTTGTAACAATCAATAAAGTATGCAAATTTTCCAAAGTTATGTGAGGACGGACTTCTAGATCGCTAGTGACATTGTTAATAGAAATACTAATAAATTCAAAACCAGTTGTAAAGGTTACGGCGATTTAGCAATTTAGGCGCTTTTAAAAAAATGCGAAGGATTCTTAACATCACTATCCGCGATCGTTATAAAAAGACTCACATTTAGTGGGGAATTTTGTACAATTCTGAGGTATATAAAATCGCGTGATCGACTTTTTGTTCATCACATCACTTCCATCAGAAGAATCCATCGTATTTACATCAACAATGAAGGTGGTAAGTCAATCATTTAATAAAAATGCAAAGTGCGGCTCCATAGTAAAAAGATTCTTTGCGATTTCATTTACGCTAAACCGTGATATTTGCGTGCATCCTTTCGCGAGTGCAATCAATTTTCGTAGTGATTCAACACAGTGGCATACTTTATCAACAAAAGCAATTAATTTTCATAAAAAAACGGTCAAGTGCGAATCTGTACTAGGGTCACAAGATTTTTCGGGAAACCATTCTTTAAAATCATTTCTTTCAACCGAAATAATGCATTTACTTTTATATTTCTGCCACAGATCTGGGAAATAAAACACTTTTTCGTAAAAATTAAAGAAATAGATTTAAAAGATTTATACAGGAATGAATATAAATAAAGAAAATGTGTTTCATCGGAAAATCCTGTACCGGAAATATATATCACTGATACTCATCGTAACTATAATTCAAAAGCAATCCGATAGCTCTTTCTCGTCTGCAAGTTCAAATAGGCGGAGTACCAAATTTATGTTTTAACTATTTAAATTAATTTAGCTGAGCAATTAATAAATCGAGTGTCATACATCGAATTGTAATTCGTAAACTTGATTTAAATTTAAATTTACCATCAAGAATTATTTGTAGTAGATTTAAAGGCATTATTAAAGGCATTATAGGAATTGTGTTCTTATCTTGCAGATAATAGCTTTAGCCGCTTTGGTTGCTGTAGCAACTGCTGCACCACAAGCGTATCCATATCAACAAAATTTGGACACCGACAAAGACGCCGTTGTACTCAAATACGACAGTGAAAACCTTGGAATTGACCACTACAATTATGCGTATGTATCCAGAAAAAGAGTTGCTAGGGATTTTGTTATTAAACGAATCAAAAAGAAATCACAAGCCGAAAACAAAGTTCATATCTCAATAACGTAATTGAAGGCAATACAAGTTTCATGGCCTTTTCCCATTAAATTCTTCATTCAGCCATAAGTTAAGATGGCAGTATACCTTATGAGACAGATCCAATTAATGTATTTATGTTCTTAACGTAAAAGTTCCCCTACATGATATGTAATAGATTTCTGATTTGTTTTAACGTATTCCCATTCCAGATATGAAATCAGCAACGGAATTTCTTCTCAAGAAAACGGAGAAGTTGTCAATACTGGTGCTGAAAACCAATCGATTGTAGTACGTGGACAATACTCGTTCGTTGCTCCTGATGGAAACACTTATACCGTTAGTTATGTTGCTGATGACAACGGTTTCCAACCCCAGGGTGCCCACATCCCACAAAACACGAAATAAAAAAAGAAAAAAGGAAATGCGCGCGACCTCTGACTGGAAGATATAATGCCAATTCTTGGCTCATGTTAGACAAACAAAGTTATAGGTGTAATTACATTGTACAGCAAATTATTTATATGTGAGTTGTTAATAATAAATTGAATGTGCCATAAAAGATGCACAAAAATTATTTACTGCCTTTGTATTTTTATCTTTTAAAAATTATATCGGAAAATCAATTTCAGATGTATAATATTACAAATTTAATTGTAATAATTAAGAAACTTGAAATAATTTTAAAGAAAAATGTCAAAATTGAAATTACTACAAGTTACATACTAAATTTTACTATTTCTACTGCAATTTCTGTCATTGACAATCAAAAATTGTAATTTTTATGTTGTCATAAAAATTTAATTTTCTCCGTGTACTCATTTAATTAAAGTGACTCCTGGCTTTTCGTCTTATATCAATCATCTCCCCTAATAGTAATGATATAACATTTTAACTTTTCACTAATCGTAAAGCTCGGATCATAAGATAAGTTAATTAAGTATATATACTTACGTCAAAAAAGTCGATACTTCCAAACGTAAACTAAAAAGTTAGAAACGGGAATTGTCCCTTAATTTTATAGATATAGAGATGGGACATTTTCTTCATATTTAAATGAGACCACCCTTCAGATATAGCCTTTCCAATATTAAAAAAAAAGAATCAGTAAAATAAGTTCACAAAAATGCACACAAAAAGGTACAGTTGAATTGAGGAGCTTTTTTTTGGAAATCGGTTGAAGAGCTTATTTTTTTTATATTTTTGGAAGAGTTGCCTTTGCTTAACTTGTATGAAAGTAATGGTTATGTAAATTGATTATTCATGTTTGACGGAAAAACCCCGAATTTTGAACAAAATATTCGCAAAAAATTCGATCACATTTTATAACTCCGAAGGCGTAAAAGTATTTTAATCGTTTTAACTTGCATATTTAATTACATGATAAAATAGTTTTACCGAAAATAAAAATTAACTGTCAGATAAATAGTATCGATCGAAATAATAAAGTTGAATCAATGTCTTTCACGAAACTCCCATTTAATAACAAAAACTTATAAAAAAACAGCTGTACTACTTTTCTTTAAAACAACACAAAACATTATGACATCTTGTAATTAAAATATTTTAAAAATTGTGATTTGTTAGTTCTGTTTAAAATTTATTAACTTACAGATGGTGTCCTCAAATAAATACTAAATAACATTATATAACATTTTTTTTTTTAAATTGAAAGACCTGTATTTAAAAACGTTCTGATGAGCACCTTCATGATCAACTACTAAGATTTTTTTCGCCTGATCTCCCTCCATTGGAAGCCTCCTACTTTAATCAAAATTGAGTCAATTCGTACAAAATAATAAACTTTTGTGCAAACACTACGAAATGAACTTTATTAGTTAGTGTGNAACATAGTGATTAGGTATATGTTGATGGGATCTTCTCGAATTTCATTACATTTCATTCTTGTGCGTGTCAATGACATAATTTCTCCCCGCTTAAATTAAGACGTCCTTGTACGACAAAGAAAATACTGTGAAAATTATACAAATAAGAAATTCTTCAATTTGCATTTTTCTCTTTGTCATATTTCTACGATGGCAATTTTACTAATTAATAGACTGAGTAGGCAATAGATCAGAGCAAAAGATTACAGAGGGCGATGGATGTGGAGGACGATATTGCGAAAAGTTGAACATCTGTACCTAATTTTAGCTAGCGATTATATATACGTATAAAATCAGATGAATGAAAATATAATTAAATTTTTGAGACTACAAAATCAGTTTATAATGAAATTTTTAATAATGATTAGGCATCTTGCACGTACAACAGTGACGATTCTCGGATAAACTGGGCCCCTTTTAAAAAGAAAAACAAAATAAAAGACCAATCACAAAACTCTTAAATAAAGTACAATTTTTACAACAAATGTACAACTTGAATATGGGACCTCTTGAGGGCAGGGTGCAAAAGTACATAACTTGCATCACCTTATTAAATCCGCAGATTGAATCACTCTAAAGAGCGAATATTCGCAATTACAGACTGGAAAATTAGTTAAACAGAAGCCGAAATTGCAAATCATTTCCATTACGCATTTCAATTACGCAAAAACACATTTTCATCGAAGTACATAGCTTCAGTGGCGTTTTTATAGCATACTATCTAAAATTGAACCACTGTAAAAAGCAAAATTTTGCGCATCAAATTTAAAAAATTGGTTAAAAAGGACACAAATGTAACCGATAAAAATAAACATCAAATATACTTTTTTAATCAAAATTACATATTTCTTATGAAAATCATGTGAAACTTAATAAATGAGTATTATTTATTTTATCTCCTAACAGAAATTATTAAATAATTTCTTTTTACTTATATATTTTTTATTTGCTAAAAATTTTACAATTCACAATGAAAACTAAAAAAATTGTACTCATAAAACCAATAGGCGGTGTAAATGCCAAGAAAATAACTTTATTATTATGGCGTAAACGCAATTATAATAATCCATATTAAGGACAAGCAACTTTTTAATCCGAATATAATATTACCATTTGATGCTTTCAACCAAAAGTCAAAAGTCAAGTTTCCCATTTTGAGTATATTCTGATGACTTTACTTCTTATGTAATAACAAATTGTATCACTACATCATAACATAAAACCATACATAGATTTCATGATTTAATTAATAATAGATTATAATTTCACGTACATTAGAGAAAGCATTTGTAGAGAATAAATGGTACTGTTATAACTATTATTAAAGGACTTTATTTGTGTCAATGCTAAAGAAGATTTTATTCGATTTATTCTCAGAAATTTGCTAATATATAAATCACATAATTTATCTCATTAAAGGACTAAAATTTCATCAAGCACTCTTTCAAACAAGAAAGCCCGTCTCATCAACTTGAAAACTTAATCCATCACCTTAATTGAATACACGATTTAAATAAAAATTAAATTAGTTATGAAATGTCAATTATAATAAATATTTTACTGTAACAATAGGACACATAATATTTTGGAAATTTTTGTTTGTTTCTGAGGATTTTTGACTTCTTTGCATTATGAGTTTTTTTCTTGATTTATTTATAACCATCAGGACAGTACTGTCAACGTCACTCTTCTGTCCACTGAGTTACTTTATTTACAGCATTTTGAACTGTACCTAACAGAACTATAATAAAGATTCAGGATTTGCACGATGTAGATAATTTAACTACTAGCAATTAGCTATGTACCCGAAAGTTTAGATTGTTCACAGTATACGGCAGCCTAATATAATTGTATTGTTCGCCATAAATGCGGAACTTCCGCTGAGGGATGTTCACTATTAAATGCCTACTATCTAAAATTCATGTTTGTAACTGTACTTGTACACAGTTAAACATAAGTTAAATATATCTGGATATATAATTAAAATTGCAAATAATTTAACACTTTAAGTATTAACTGAGAAATTAAACAACTATAAAATATTTGGTACTTATTTATTTAAATACAGTTGTATTTAATAAAACATTCAAATTGTCATCTAATTTAGTTTTCATACAATTACTAACAAATCATTATTTTATACAATACTAATTTTATCAACTTTGGGATGAACTTTTGCCTCAAAACTCTCAAGTGTGCATTTATAATTAACAGGTGGGTCATATGAACATACTATAGGTAGCATAAAAAAACCTGTTTTGATAAAATTAAAGATATGGCACATAGAAGATGAACTTTGAGGCAAAACTAGCTGGAGCACCTTATTTTAGTACCTATTCAACCATATAATAGCTTTTAATAAGAAGTAAGCAATTCCCATTCCATACAAGATCTTTTCTCTTTGAAGTCTGTTCAAATTTTCTAATTCAAGAGCCATAATACGTCTATTAAGCTTAGCCATTTGACAGCGTAGGTGATAAATTTCTTCTGCGGGAGTTAGTTTTTCACCATGACCAATAGGAGGTGTTGATTCTCTCAGAGAAATACGGCTATCATTTAGACTTTCATTTAAATCAAATTTAGTCTTTGCTCTTACTACTGGTATTCTATCAAAGGCAAATTCTTTCTCTTCCTCTTCAGGTTCTTCCTCTTCTGCACTTACTCTAGGGAAAGGATACTTGTCTAGTGTCAATGTTCTAGGTGGTGTAGCTACCCTGACTTCATTTGTGTATTGATCATTTGGTAAAATTGAATTATCATAAATGATTTCTCTTGGTGGAGCTCTTGTTCCTATAAAAACAACATGAATTGAGTATATGATATGATCTTATAGACTATGGTCAAAATAAAGAAATTCTCAGTTGTCGGCCATTTATAAAGAAAATCCTTTTCACCACAATATCACTGAAGATATTTTTAAAAATTAGAGATGAAACGTATGAACCTACAACCACTGCCTATAGACTGAAAAAGAATTAACTGACTAATGCTTCTACTAATTAATAAATTTGTTTATATAACTAACTGTTTTAAATAACACGAAAATTACTAAAACAATGAGTCTCTTCACTCATTAAAGAACGTTTTCTTTAAAATATATTCAGTGAAGCTGCATAAATATATTTGAGGTGTATACCTATATGTTGGTGTTGTCCCACAACAAGAATTCTTTCAGGAACTTGCATATTAATTGCTTCACTACTGCTCCATAAGTTTATACCATTAGGGGTATCGCCCCCGAAACTTATTTTACTTGGCACTTTCATTTTCTGACTTATATCAACTTTAAATGTGGCGTCTGACATAAATGCATCCTCAAGTTCATTATAATGTTCAGGACTTGCATTATTGGACATTCTAACGAAAACATAAACTTACAATCGTAATAGGTACTTTACACTTATACTCATAAATTTAAATATTTCCAAAAAACAGAAATACCGCAACTGCAATTTTTATCTTCGATCTTTAATTAAAGAATAAAAAATAACCTTTATTATATTATCTATAAAAGTACAACAGTGACGATTCTCGGATAAACTGGGCCCCTTTTAAAAAGAAAAACAAAATAAAAGACCAATCACAAAACTCTTAAATAAAGTACAATTTTTACAACAAATGTACAACTTGAATATGGGACCTCTTGAGGGCAGGGTGCAAAAGTACATAACTTGCATCACCTTATTAAATCCGCAGATTGAATCACTCTAAAGAGCGAATATTCGCAATTACAGACTGGAAAATTAGTTAAACAGAAGCCGAAATTGCAAATCATTTCCATTACGCATTTCAATTACGCAAAAACACATTTTCATCGAAGTACATAGCTTCAGTGGCGTTTTTATAGCATACTATCTAAAATTGAACCACTGTAAAAAGCAAAATTTTGCGCATCAAATTTAAAAAATTGGTTAAAAAGGACACAAATGTAACCGATAAAAATAAACATCAAATATACTTTTTTAATCAAAATTACATATTTCTTATGAAAATCATGTGAAACTTAATAAATGAGTATTATTTATTTTATCTCCTAACAGAAATTATTNAAAAAAAGAAGTGGTGTATAAACTTTAAAGATTTACTAATAAGTTTTATGTAGGACAAAATTGGAAATGTCGACTTCTACAAATGAAGGTGAAATAGATCACGTTATCATTACAACAACGGCTCTAATTCATTCTCCAAAAAATAATCATAAATTTCATCATGGATTCCTTCCTCGCGATGAACAAAATAAAAGAAATACTAAAACACTAATTACTAAGGAAATAGATAACTTAGAAGAAGCAAACTCTAAGAATAAACCTAAACCTCTAATTAAAAAACGGACTGTTAAGGGAAACGTTCGAAGAAAAAAGCAAACTATAATTTTAAAACCACTTATTCCTACAAATTCTTCAGTTTCTCAAAAAGAAAACAAGACACACGTTGAAAACTCTACACAATCTACAGGTTCATCACTTAATAAAAAAGAAAGCGAAATATTTGTCAAAAAACCTAAACTAATTTCATCTTCTTCATGTAGCACTTTTCCAGATTTAAATTTTGAAACAGAAAATAAAAATAAATCTAAAAGCAAATCTAGCTTAAGTGGTATATTTTCAAGTGTATCAAATCACGATGTTAAAGAAAAAAATCCTCAAGTCATGCACAAAGCAAGTAATGGGGAAAACAAAATAAAAGAAGAAGTTGACTTTGTAGTAAGAAGTCCTGAACCCATAAATAGATCCATACATAGTGTTGATGAGAATATTTTAACTGTCTCCAAGACCATTGCGATGAATTGGAGCACCCCTAAGCCTATAAAAAAAAATAAAAAATTCAGTCCTGTAGAAGTTTGTATTGCTGAAAGTATGCAAACTGAAAAATCATTAGAATATGATATTATCAGCAAAAAGAATCGATTAGTTAAGGAAGATATTCATAAACACGAAAGTTTGAATACCTTTGATTCTTTTAAACTTTATCAACATCCTGAACCAACCGTTAAAAATGTGTTAATTGAAAATTCAAGTGATTATGTGGAACGTTCATGGGAAAATTCAGGTAATATTTTTTCACCTTTAATGTAGTCTGCTATTCATTTTTTACTTTTTTGTAGGACAACCCGTTCCAGCTGAACGCGTACTAAGGTATTTGGTTTATCTATTTTAAGTATTTGATTTTGATGTATTTTTATTAATGAAAATTCATTTTCAAAGTCTACATCAAACATCGCCCGAATTTTTACAAAAAAAATGCATGATCATTACATTTGTTTCGCACCAAACGATAAGTTCCTTACACAGAGTTAAGAGCATAATACTGTAATTAATTGGTCATTTAAATTTGAATCTAATTTTACCATACCAGTTAATTTCTAAACATCAAACAAAAAAATAATTTTCATTTAAAATATTAAAAGTTGTTTTAACATAATTTTGATTTATTAAATATGAGCTTTACTTGGGTAAATGTTCTAAGGTATATACCTATTAATTTTCTGGCAAGATTCACAAGTTTACTTGTTTCATCTGTTATTACTAATTTAGTTTATTTTAATTGATTCTAATAAATTATTTTTATTTTTGCTAGATTTATGAAGTTATTAAGACGTTATGAAAAAATGGTCGAAGAAATAAAAACCGATCATGCACATCAGTTCTTTTATAAATAAGCTAATTAACAATATTTATTACATAAACATTAATTTAAACATTCATTGCCAATTAACGTGTGCAATATATTCCTTAATTAATGTTTTATTATTTACATGGGTTTTGTTAAATGGTCATTAAATAAAAGACAATTTAAATGTTGTCTATATTATTTAATTATCATACATTCTCTTACAAAAAATTATTCTGTAACCATTTGCAACGATTCTGGTTGTTCAATAGTAATTTTTTGCAGTTCCCGTCGAATTTCGGGTGTTATTAAAGGGTGAGATTGTTTTTTAATAAGTTCCAAAAGTGCCTCTTTTTGTTCATTTGATATAAAGGAATTATATCTTTGGGTAAATGTTAAAAGAGCTTGGTGCCACAGAACTGGCATTTCTCTCTTATCATATTCAAATCTAAAAGAGAAAGAAAATAATTACAGAAAAAGGAAAATAAAAACCAGAATTGAAAATTAAAAGAAAAGTTACCTTAAAAAATGAAATACAGAGCCGTCTATCACCCTATAAGGCAATGCATACTTCTTGTCATAAAATATTCTTAATAAAATGGAATTTGCACCTGTGTATTCCATTTCAGCTATTCGTAGCATAGCTGCTGATGCATGTAAAACTGGTATTGAATTTTTAGCAATTACTGATCCAACAATGATTGCTTCTCTTAAAGTACAAGTGCCACTTTCAAGAAGTGGAAGCAAAATCCCTTAAAAAAGGCATTCATGAAATAATAAACACAACACTTATTTTAAATATTAAAACCTTTCATAAAACCACCAGGTTTATAAAGGGCTTTTCGTAAAGCTTGATAGAGATGAAAATTAAGCCTTTTGTATTCAGCAATATCATCTCTTACTCGTGGCAACAGTACTAAATTGTAAAATCTTTGTGCCATGTTGTCTTTTAAATTTGAAGCAAAAATTCTGGTTGCTTGATACATAGAAGCAGCTGACCAACATGTAGGATCTAAAATTAAATACTAGTATATATTTATACTTTAATAAAACAAGTAAATTGCTTTAAGTACCTGTAATATAAAGAATTTGTTCCCAATTTCTTAATTTAGGAATAAGTTTAAAGGCTTTTGGTAATTTTCCACTCCTATATTTTTGCAATACTTGTTTTACCCCCTCATATAATTCCTTCACCCTAGGATCTATATCTTGTATTTGTAAGCTACCTACATCACTAAATTTTGTTTCTATTTCTGTTTGTTTTTCTGTTATTTTATCTTTTATAATATCAGCAAGAGTTCTCCCTGTTTTGCCATCTCTTCTCATAAAAATATCAATAGCTCGTTCATCTTCTTCATTTATCTCAATATTTTCGTAGTAAGGTTCATGCTCCAGCGTATCTTCATCTGATTCTGATTCTTCTGAAGTATCTTCATCCAATTTTGTTCGCTTTGGTTTATGTTGAAGTGATTCGTCTAAGGTTGGAAATTCTTCTTCCACTTCTCTTTGCTGCTGACGAGCAGCGGAGAGAATTTTTCTCGATAAAGAAGAATCTACATACTAATAAAAGTTATAAAAAGATTAGAGATTTTTAGTAAAAGAATACGAAAAAAGTCTAACCTCTTCGTCGTCGTCTTTGCGCTGTCGAATTTTATTACGGTTTTTGGATTTTGCAAATTTTGCATCAGAAATATCATCTTCTAATGGACGCTTCTTCTCCACTTGGGATAGCTTCAATTTCCTTCCTTTTCCCATTATTTTTGCTTAAAGTATTTTCGCTGTAAATAAGTCGCTGTCCTTGCCCCCAAACAATGTGGTTAGAGAAATAACTTTCTCTATGCTCTCTATCTATGAGCTCCATTAGAGAGAGTCTATTAGAGACAGATACCATTTGTAATTAATTACATAGCAGTAAAGAATTGATTTAAAGGATTAGCAGTATTATGCATGTAAATTTCTAGCAGTATTTACTTCAAATCAAACCTATTGCTTTTTTTTTTAACAATAGGAAGTATATAAATTTAGAAGGTATTACAGACACTACTTTCGTAAAAATCCTTCATCTTTTCAATCCACCATCTCTACATGATCTCTACCACAGATATCCATCCACAAAAAGTCAAAAATTAGTGGAAAAGTTAATTATCGTTGATTATTGTGCACCGTTAATAGCTGCCACTTTTCTAATTAATATGTATATGTATTAAGTATAACTGGTTCAACTTAATTATAGTTACTCTACATATATAACAAAAAGTTTTGTTTAGTTTTCATACTAAAACCTTGTCTATGACTAAAACTGTGAATTAAAAATGTATCTACTGAGGAAAGTAGTTTCCTAATATCATAAAAAAAACTTTAATCAGTTAAACTTGTTGATCCGGATATTTAATAAATAAAATGATGACCAGCTTGCTGTATGAAAAGCGTCCATTAAAAAAACCTCGAATAGGACCTCCTGATGTATATCCTCAAGAACCTAAACAAAAAGAAGATGAATTAACAAGTGTAAATGTTAAACATGGTTTTCCTACAATGACTCATTTAAATGATGAGTTTGGAACAGCCAAAAACTGTAACATAACTGCTAGTAAGGTATATGGATAGTTAAAATACCAGTTCTTTTATAATAAAAAAGTCTTACCTTTTTTTAACTTTCTTGTAGGTAGGAGCATATTTTAATGCAATAATAGCTCGCAAAGAGGAGCTTAGTTCATTGCCAGATTCTGGTAGAAAAAGGCAACAGATCAATCCTAAAGACAACTTTTGGCCAGCAACAGTTAGAACAAAAAATGCAATTGAAGCATGGTTTAAAGATTTATCTGGTAATAAACCACTAATGAATCTATCAAAAAAGGCCCCAAATTTTAATAAAAAAGAAGAGATATTCATGATGCTTTGTGAATATCAGGTTCCCATGATACGTTCTGCATGGTTTATAAAATTAAGTTCTGCCTATACAGTTGCTGTATCTGAAGCCAAGATAAAAAAAAGGCAAATGCCTGATCCAACAACAGGTTAATTATTTTGCTTATTATTTAATTCAATTTAATTTATTGTAGCATAAGAATAATATACTATAAATTTTCTTTGAGTCCCTTCTAATTTGTTTCATAGAAGTGATTTATAGTTAAGTCAGCACATCAGTATTATTTATAAAATTTTTGTAGAATGGACTGGCACCCTACTAAAATTTCTGAAAGATCAGATTCCAAAACTCCAAGAATATTATGCTCAAACAGAAAAACCTCAAAGTACTCCTATTTCAAACCCTACCAATGAAACTGAACAAAAACTTGCAATGAAACATTGGACATATTGCATTCGCCTTTTAAAGTATATGTATGAAGAAGGTAAAGACTAATTACCTAAATGGTTAATGTTTTTAATGTTAAATTATTATTTTTTTCAGGGTTACTTGATAGACAAGAAGTTCTTAATTGGATTTTAGAACTTCTAGACAAATTGAGATCTCAGCCTTCAGAGGATGGCATTTTAAAACTTTATCTTCCATTAACCATGCAGTATTTAGAAGAATTTGTCCAATCAGAACTCCTTTCTAGGAGATTATCATACTTATGTACTAAAAAACTTGGTTACATGTTGAGTAATGTTGCTGAAAGTAATCTTATTACTTCCCCTCATTCACAAAGCGAGATTAAGCCTGATATAAAGGAAATTGATAAAGAAAAGAAAGATATATCACAAATTAATCCCATTCAAAGTACCCTTATTGAGTACCAGAATTGTCCACATCACCGTGATATAGGTAATATTTTAAAATGAGGGAAATTCACTAAAAATTGTAAAATTTAGATTTTGACTTACTGTTTTCATTTTTATCAGTTAATGCCTGTAGCTTTTCTTGCATGTTATTAATATAAACATTTATAGGTATAATACCCTTGCAAACAGTGTTATTTGATTATTACAATTATTATTTATTTTATATTATTTTCTGCATTTTTGATTGTCAGAAATAAAAATTGTCATTCTTTTAATAACCCTAATTAAGGGAGAACAATTCTAATAGTCATCAAGCCCTTAAATAATTAACATCGGCTGTAAAAGCCTACATTATCTCATTATCATATTGATTGATTTGCTATTTTGTTTTTGTAATTTTTTTAATTTTTATTGCATGTATATTTACTGATATATACACATTCAATTAGTAATTTTATATTCTTTATTTATATCATGTTTTCAGTTTTACAATTAAGTACCATAATTCAAACCATTGTTTTGGAATGCCCAACTTCTTTAGTATGGTGTGGTGCAGGAATAGGTTCTGTTTGGCATGGATCTCCTCTAGATCTTTTACCTGTTTTACCTTCTACTTTACCAATGCCTGCCAGATTTGATGCCAATACTTACAGAAAACAAATTAGGCAAAGTGAAAACAGTATTAGGGAAAGAAGTAAGAAAGCAGAAAGCAGATGGTGCAGTGAGAAGTGGCAGTCTTGTTCCAAAGGTAATTAGAAAATGTAGTGTTTTTTCTATAGTATTTATTCTTACAAAATGTGTATAATTGAGTGTTGTGGAACGTAACTGAATAAATACTTCATCATCATAAGGTCGTCAGTCCTAAGACTGGTCGGACACGCATTTCCACTCGTTCCTATCCTGAGCTAATCTTACAATAAACACTTAAAACCCCAAAATTGCACGTTTTAGTTTTCTAAACGTTTTGTGGAATTGTAAGGTTTTATGTGTTTATTTAGTATTTATTTTTACTAAAATACATATCAGGTACAACAACTGCAAGAGTTTTAGCAGCTCTTGATGCTCTTGACAGGCATAGATTTGATAGGATGGATGCCACCAACTCCTTGGAAACTCTTTATACGAAGGTATTTTCTAAAAACCCTCTCGTTACAACTTAAAAAAAAAATAAATTTGCTTTAAAGGTTTTTAGCGGGAGCAACGAACACGAAAATGCGGTTGTTAAACTCCTATGCGAGTGGGCAGTCTCTCCAGAGAGGACCGGTGAATACCGAGCTCTTGCAGTTGCTGCATTATTAGATCGTAGACAGTCGGATACTTCATCTGGAGCAGACCAAGATGCTGGTACAAATGACGACAAAGACTCGAACAGTTCAATACCAGGAGGTCCTCCCATGTTTCAGTCATTATTAATGAAGTTCCTAGACACCGATGCCCCTGTACCCTCACCCGATGACACCCCTCAAGTAAGTGTTTTTCTTTTTAAGTTTCTGCATCTCATATTTACCGTAATTTCATCATTCTAAATATAAACATTTATCAAAAAGGAGCATAAGATATAAATTGATCCAAAATAATTGCACGGTTAATATTTAAGGATATGAAATTTATTCCTTTTTAGAAAAAGACAGCCTTTTCAAACCTTGTTCATCTTTTTTCTGAACTTATTCGAAGAGATGTCTTCTCTCATGACGCCTACATGTGTACCTTAATATCAAGGGGTGATCTTTTAGGTCACGAAGAAACTACTGACCCAACCACTATAAAAATGGAGGTAAAAATAATGTACACTCATTTAAGTTTATTCATCAAATAATGAAACTTTATTAGGATCACTCCCATGGAATGGACTATGATGATTCAAAAATTGATGACGACCTTGATAAAATTCTGCAAAACATCAAGGAAGATCAGCAAAACTCGATGGACGTCCCAGACAGTCCTAAAGACCAGGATCACCCACATCACTCCCACATTGCTGGCTCAGTAGGGCATGTACCAATGGAAACTGATCACAATGATCACAAAATAAAACCTTCAAGACATCTTCTATATACGACACATTTTCCACTTGCGCAAGACGACCCTTTTTCTCAACATGATTGCAATCAGCGTCATGTTCTTTTATATGGTGTTGGTAAAGTTCGAGACGAAGCTAGACATACGGTGAAAAAGATGTCGAAAGAAATATGCAAATTGTTTACAAAAAAATTCAGTATCGATGTGGCCGAAGGTGGTAAAGTGAAAAAGCACTCGAGAAACGAGTTCAATTTCGAAGCAACCACTCAAAAGTGTCAAAGTTTAAGTTATTTCGACCAACATGTAGTAACATGGCAATGTAGTGTTAATGTGATTGAAATGCTCAATTCTTTCGCAACAGGCAGTTCATATTATCTTCCTGTACAGGAGCATGTTGCCTTTTTGTTTGATCTAATGGAATTGGCGTTAAATATTTATGGTTTGATTGATGTATGCATACAAATCCTTAAAGAACTACCAGAAGTCGAAGCACAACTAATGTCCAAAAATTCAAATTTAGCTAGGAATTACACTACTTCGCTTAGCTTATATATTGTGGGCGTTTTGAGGAGATACCATTGCTGTCTGTTGTGTATGTTAATTTCAAAATATATTACCTTTAGTTTTATAATACATAATTATAGAATTTGATTATAATTTACATTTCCTGTTAAATTTGTTTTCTTAAATATGACAGTCTCTCTTTTTTACTGTCCCTAAAGTTTTTTTTAACTAAAAAGAAAAATATTTTTAAAATAATTCTTTATCAGTAAGAGAAAACGGTACAATAGTATAATAATATTCACAGTAATATTATAGCTTTAGTTGTAATAAATGTTATCTGTTATCTTAGAAAAAACTTACACTTTCACTGATATTGTTAAAATTATATATTTTTCTAGTGTCACCTGAACAAACGTCGGCAGTGTTCGAAGGATTGTGCAGCGTGGTGAAGCACGTTTCGAACCCCTGCGATTGCAGTTCTGCCGAGCGTTGTATTTTGGCCCACCTTTACGACCTATATTCCTCTTGTAGTCTCCTTAAAGCAAAACCCCATACTGTAGAACCTTTTAGCAATGCCTATCCAAAAATTAGACAAGCGCTCTACACTGCCCTTCAACCCACTCCTAATAGTGGTTATGTTTATAATCCGCAGTTCTTGCAAGAAGTGTTCTTAAATCCTAGGAAGGGAGGCAAAATAGACAGCTCATGGGCAAGACAAATATGCGAAAATGCCAACAACAGGTCGGTAAAGTAAAAACTGTTAAAAATTCATTGAAATAAATGTGTTTTAATAATTATTTTATATTTACAAATTGAAATGTATTTAAAGTATTCTGGTATTATTTTTAGGTATTCTTTTGTTAGTAATGCTGTTATATACGTTTGCCGAGAAATTGATAATGAACGTTTAAATGATCTGGCAATAATGTGTGCAGAAATGACGGCATGTTGTAATTCACTTGCTCCTGAATGGCTGGGTGCCCTATTGGCTCTCTGTTGTCCCATGTCCCATCCTGGTTATTATACGGATATATTAGCCAAATTAGACATACAGGTACGATAACAAAAATTTTTATTTTATAGAGAAAATTTTTAAAAAAACTGATTTAAAGAAATTGGTAACATTAAGAGAAGCATTTAGTAATGATTAATGACAGTGTAACTTTACATAATCTTCACATTAATTTAACTTTGAAATTTTAGAAATTGTTTGTTTAAACAATATTTTGGCGGAATTTTTATAGAAAATAAAGAGAATAGTTATTGGAATAATGTGTATTATTTCTAAATTGAAGTACACAATGTAAAACATCGTTCAAAAATAATTTCCTATTAAAAGTAAAATTCGTAATAAATGTTCCTAACACACTTATTTTTGTCTTATTTAGGATGTCAGCATACATAACGCTCTCGCGGTTTTCACATGCATACTCATAGCTCGTCATTGTTTTTCATTAGAAGATTTTGTTGGACGAGTTGCACTTCCAAGTCTGCTGAAGGTAATCCACAGCATTTTTAACACTACATGTACTATTCATCATATTTTTCTTCATCAGGTGAAATCATTGGATAACAATGGTTCGGTTGCCGAGAGTGGCATGCGTTTGACTTGTCATCTTCTACTCCGTCTCTTCAGAACCGCAGAGGGTCCCCAACCGGGGTTATATTCTGTTGGTTCGCCTGCTCTAAACACCCCAAGACCGCCGTTAGGAGTAAGGCTAAGTTGTGATCGCCATCTTCTGGCGGCAGCTCATAGGAATATACACGTGGGACCGGTGTTAGCTGTATTAAAAGCAGTTCTTGTTGTGGGAGATTGTACCGCAAAAGAAGGCACGGAATTAAGTATATCACATATTTTAGGCACCAGCGATCTGTTGAGTGGAGGGGATGGGCCTTCTTTGGATTTGGCGTAAGTATTGAACATTTTATTTCTTCAATTGGGGACCTTGTTGGATAAAAAGAAAAATTGTTCGAGAGACCCGTTTGAGTTCCGATTTCCGAAGTTTAAATTCAATTGCCAAGCATTCCAAAAATAAAAAAAAAGATTGTCCCATAACGAAATAAGTGTTATTTTAGTGTAGAATAGAGTGTAGTTTTAGTGAAAAAATGTGAAACTTGAAGTTTAGCATTTTTTTCTTCTATCAGGTTAGATATGGAAGTCTGCAGTTCCAGGACAGCCCATAGGTTTGTCATAGACTAATTAATTTTGCTTTAACTGTGACATGGCTTGCACCTAAAAAATCAATCCGTGTTTCTACTGCATTGCTTCTATATGTGTAAACACCTGTGTAATTAGGAAGTGGTTCATCGCACTTTGCTAGAACGCTCTGTTTTTGTAATAAATCTAAATTGTATAAATTAGAATCCGATAACATCGTATTTTAGAAAACACACAATTCCTTATAATATTATTCAGTTCCATTCTTACTAAGAACCACTGAAGATTCTTATATCAAATGTATATATTGTCTTTAATGTTTCTTTCACTGTAAATACTTAAGTCTACTTAAAGTAAATAACAATTAGAAAATAAATACATAGTTATACATATTCAGAGCAGAATATTATCACTACATGAGAACTTATTAACGTTGGTGTATATATTTGTTACATATAAAAAGAATATACAAAACAGTATTTTTACATTTTTTTATTAAACGATAACATTTATTTTCTGTCAACTTGTATTACTGAATATAATTAATTAATATTTCAACAAAACTAATTTTTGTATTTCATTCAATTAAAATAAAAAGAAACTAACCGAAAAAAAATCTGAAAATGGACACGAAGTGATTATTGTATTAAATTAATACAATTTTTGTAGACAGAAAAGAAAGCTTGAAGTATACATTTAAGATTCTCAAAACGATGGTGTCCTGCTAATGAAAATAAAAGAAACTAGGATGTGTTGTTATCGTGTACACTTAACAATTAATTAATATGTCGTAAACGTTGATTCGTTATACGCCCTGTGTCCATAACATGTTGGGGAGGCTATCTGTTTTTATTAAGTTTAAAAGCTTTACTAAAAAGACGTTCTTTAACTTCCGTAGACAATCCAGTACTGGTAATGGTGAAAGTACAGCGTCTCTTTCAGCATTCGCATGTCACGTTCTTCGTGAAATATGTTCGCAGCAGTGGGTTTTAGAACGTTGTTTGAGTCATCCAGAAGAATTATGTCACCACGACAACCTTTTGGATCCTCTTCTTTCACACTCCCAAGCTCAAAGACTGCTTCATATGATCTGTTATCCAGATGCGAGCACTACTTTGGACGAATTAGATCAGAAGAGCATGATCAGCAGGATACTTGAAGTAAATTATCGATATTTCGTATTATTTATAAGTTTGAAATGTTTTTTTTTTTGTAAATAACAGAATTTGGAACTGTGGACATTAAGAATGTCATGGCTAGATTTACAACTGATGTTCAAACAATTCAACAGCAATTCGTCCGAATTAAACCAGTGGTTAGAAACTGTTGCAAAAGCTGCAATTGATGTTTTTCAGTTGAATACAGTTTCGAATTATCAATACAACGATGATAAAAAGTAAATAGGTGCATGTACTCTTAAATTCCCTTTGTATAACTTTCTGTTACTTTCTAGGGCCGACAAAAGAAATAAACAAGGATCAATTTGGCTGGTAGCTCCTTTGGTTTCTAAACTTCCGAGTGCCGTACAGGGCAGAGTTTTAAAAGTTGCTGCTCAGGTTTTAGAAAGTGGTGGTTGGTGTAAAGATCAGAAAGGAAAAAAAACTGTAGCTGAAAATCAAAGTCTCCTCAGTCATCACCCGTTTTTGAGTCTCGTCTTGAATTGCTTGAAAGGTCAAGAAGAAGGGCAAAGGGAAGGACTATTATCATCACTTCATTCACAACTTTCTCAGGTGAACTTTTTTTCCGTACATCTAGAAGAATAAACTGACCAAATACGTAGCTGATTATGTCTGAAAGTATTTTTGATTTTTTCTTTAATTGTTTCAAATTAATAAAAATATAATTAAAACTGAAAGAATGTGTTTATTTCTAGCTGGTTTCGTTAGCAAAAGAAGGTAATTTAATTGAGATATGTAATAACGAACGTACGCTAGATGGTCTTCAATTAAGATTTTCTCTTGTGGGAGGAGTTTTCGAAGCAATACAAAGAAGTTCGGCAGCATTAACTGACTGGGCGTTACTTTTCGTTCAACTTATAACACACGGACTTATCGATCTCCACACTCACAGTGAACTTTTTACTACCGTAATAGACATGCTAGCAACTTTGATACATTCTGCCCTTGCCTCAGATAGTCAAGTAAGTTAGTATAAAAAATTATGTTCTTATGATAATATTAAATATTTATTTTAATTTTCTCAGGATGAAGGTAGAAAAATGTATCAAAACTTAATGAAAAAACTCAAAAAAGAAGTGGGAGAACGACATAGCGCTTCTCTACAGCACATCCGACAACTTTTACCTTTACCTCGACTTACTACGGAAATAATTGCTGTTGAACCCGTGGGATGTTTAACAGACAGTAAAGGAAACAAAATCAGCTTTGATAGCATTGACAAAAAGCACGGATTACAAGTATGCTGTTTATTAACTTCAACGATTTATATTAACCGAAGATTCATTGATTTTTTCAGGTTACAGATAAACAACGAGTAAGCAGTTGGGATTTACTGGAAGGCATGAAAAACCCCGCTCCGTTGTCGTGGGCCTGGTTTGGAGCTGTTCGATTGGAACGAAAATCATTATCGTGCGAAGAAAACCATCGACTCTTACGATACCATACCCACAACTTACAGAGGCCTGTTTCTCACTATTTGGACCCGCCTCCCTTGCCACCAGAAGACTTAGAACCCATTCCAGATAAACCGGTATGTTATTTTGTTTAATCTTTTTTTCATTACTATTTTTGTTTAATTTATAGGCTGACACTCCAACGTCGGTGGATCAAAGTCCTCGTAGCGCTGCTATGAGTAAAGGACGTGGTAAAGGACAAAGGAGACCACGGAAGCCGAAGTCAACCTCTAATCAAATGGCCGGAGCGCCTATGACTATGGGTCAATCTGCTATGGCACAGGGACAAACTTGCTTACCTATGCAAGGTATGCAAGGACCTAATCCTCAAGTTCCACATATAGGAGCTTATGGGCAAGGTAAATAAATAGTTTATTTTAGGCACTTGGTAGTTTATCATAAGAAGTAAATTAAATTTTGTGATTTTTTTGTAAATGTTGAATTTATTTTATACAAGGTGGTGGTGCACTTCAACAACAACCAGGGCAACAGTTTAATACTGGTCCTGGTCAGCAACAATGGTACAACCAGCAGCAACAAACTCAAAGTTTCTATTCTCAGCAAATTCCCAACGGTAATAATTGTCGACAGTAGTCGTTGTAGCATGTCAACAAAAAAAATGTTTTATTACAGTAAATCGTTTTGAGAGGCCTCAACAGATTAATCAATCAAAACAGGCTTTATCTAATATGTTGCGTTCTCGTCATCCGATAAATCAGTTTATAGGACCCGGCAGTCAGACTCCTGGACCAGGGCCGCAACCTTCCGGATATGGCCCCATTCAAAGGCAGTTTCCAAGACAACCTATACGACAGCAACATCCTTCGGCTATGCAACCTAATCAGGTACGTTACTTCAAAATTAATTGTGCGTAGAATAGTGATTTTTATAACATTCTTAGAGAGCATAGAGAGGAGTTTATGATTAACGTAATATAATTTATCATTCTCGCTTATTAATTTCTCTTTAGCCGCAAATATTGCTTTGATAGTTGTAATTCAAGTTGCCACTGTTTATTTATTTCATTATGTATTTACCAATATAAGAAAAACAAAAAATATAAAAAAATATGTAGGTCTTAAAGGATTTTTAAGCAATTTTTCTATCAGCATTCTTGACTTTTGATATAGGGGATGTTTCCACAACAATATGGTAACATGCAAGGTGGCATGACAGCCGCTCAACAGTACGGGAATTATGGTGGAGGTCCGGGACCTGCAATGATGCAAAACAATATGCAAGCAAGTCAACAGATGATGCAAGGAAGTCAGGCGGGAATGTTTGCAGCAGGGGGACAGCAACAAAGCTTCACTCAGACAAGACCTGGCCAACCTGACTATCGCACTATAAACCAGACACAAAGACCTCAATATATGCAACAAGCTCCCAATGTTACCATGAATACCAATGTAGGCATGAACCAGATGGGCGCAGGACAAGGTAAGTTATATTTCTTAGATAGTTACTTTTTTCTTTTACTAAAAAAATAAGTATAATTGCGTTAAAAATAGCATTATTAATTAAATAATTTTTTATTAGGGGGTCCTGCTCCTCCTTATTCTCGATCTGCAGGTCAATCATTACAAGGTGCCCAGCAAAATCAATTCCAACAACAACAGCGAATGCGTCAGCAACAGATGTTAGTCATGCAACAGCAGCAACAAGGTGGCCCTCACGGTACACAGCCTTCACCTGCTATCGTTGCTCAACTACAAAGGCAGATGAATTCAAATCCTTACCAACACCAACCTCCCCCTTACAATATGGGGTAATTAATTGACATTCAGTAGCGGTATGTTTTAAATCGTATTTAATTGTAAGTATTATTTATTTTTGTTTGGTATTCAGAACAGATAAATTAAAAATGGTTTTATTTTTCTAAAAATATTTTAAATGGGCAATTTAATTGAAATTGTACTGTTCTTTATTCATACATAATTATTTATATTTTTTTAAGTTTTCTGTATAAAATTAGCTAATAAAAAATGAGAACTGTTTTGTAGAATTTGTAAACTACAAAAATGTTAAAATAGTTAAATAAGACGACGCATTGCATAAACCACTGAGGATGGAAATATGAAATTTGCAGAATTTGTTTTTTAAAGGGTGTGGAGGTCTACTAAGAAAAGTTTTTCTAAAATCAACCCATAAAGGTTGAAATAGAGAGTAAATGTTGGAAAATCATATTCGTTGCGAATATCTATCATCTTTAGCTCTTTAAAACAAAGTATAAAATATTTATTTTACGATTAATTAAAGCAACCTGTAATAAGGAACACATCAAAGTATTGAAGTTTATATGGGAAAACCTGATTTCCTGTACTTATTGAGTTGAAAATAAATACTCTTCAAATAAAAGAAAATGCGTGTTTAAATTTTTTTAAAATCATCCTTAAAAATAAGCTTTGATCAGGCGTTTTAATCTACAGTATTTTTTAACAGCTTTGAAATGCAAGAAGAAAACGCAAAATTTCCAAAAAGACTTCGGTTTGCAGAATAGGAAAGTTATAAATAGGTATGCAGACCAACTTCACCCTCTGCGTTTAAAGTCAACCAAGGTTTAATAGAATGTTAAATCTTAAAATTGCCGGTTGTATTTGAATTGTAGTCCCACCGAAACTACATCTGTGACTCATTTGAACTATTAGCTTTGTGAATTATTTGAACTAAACTTTACAAATTATGCCAACACCTACATGCAAAATTCTTTAAAATTGCACTTTTAATTGACAAAATACCGGGCGTCTTTTATAAAATGGAGGTAGAGCGGGCATAAAAATAATCGTTATTATTAAATTAACTCATCTTTATATGAAATGCCTCGCGTTAAAGCGGAACCAAAGAAATGCATAAAGAGCAATCTACAACGTTCTTATGATAATATTAAATATTTATTTTAATTTTCTCAGGATGAAGGTAGAAAAATGTATCAAAACTTAATGAAAAAACTCAAAAAAGAAGTGGGAGAACGACATAGCGCTTCTCTACAGCNTTGTTTAATTCATAAGTAACAGTTAAACCAAACAATTTACTAAATAGGAGAAGCTTTGGAATTATCAGAGCAATACACAGGAACAGGCACCCCAGATATTGTTACTCTTCGACATCCCAATACAAGGCAACCTGCAGTGTTCCTGTTTTCACCAGCCAATAATTCTGTTCAGGAAGTTCTGACCTTTAGTGAAGAAAAAAGATCATGGTTTATTGATGATTCTGTGAAAAGTGATGGTAAAATGCACCTTTCAACACCAATAGACCCAATATTTTTAGGTAAGATAGTGATACTTGTTAATTTATAATTCATTTTTCTTACCTTTTCTTTGTTTTAGTCCTTCCTTATCTTAGAAAATATTGCCATTCTAAGGCACAACCCTTGGATCAAATACTCATGGATGAGGAATTTCCTGAAACTGTTCGACTTTTGAAATCTAGTGGACTTAAATATTTAAATCTCATAGCAGATAGAAAGGTGAGTTATAATTTTAGTTTTAAATAATTGTTTTAATTGAAGAAAAAATTAAATTTATGAAGAATAAAATAAGCAGAAGTTTTCTTATCCCTGAACTAAATCAGTTGATTTCTGTAGGTTTGTTATGTTATTCATGGTGAATGTGTAGTAAGTCTACAAATGGAATAAAATCATTATAGTTCAGGATTAAGAAACTTCCTGCTTATTAAATAATTTGTATAAACAACTTGTACTCTTTTCTTAAAGGGTGATGAAGATTTTAATGGCTTCAAATATAACGAAGAGAAAACATTAATTTGGCTTCAGAAAAAGACAGAACGTGTTGCTGACATTTTAAAACAAAAAAATATTCATGTTGCTAGTGGTGCAGCTTCAGCAACGTTTGTAAAATCAACTGTAGGGGAGGCTGTGGACAACGAAGCATATTTACGATATGCACATGGTATTGTTTCAGAATATCTTATGGAAGATCTTAGTCAAAAACTTTTAAAGTACTTAAACTTACCTGAAGATGTTAATGTCAATAAAAGAAAAAGCAGTAGTGGAAATTTACAGCAACCAGAAGCAAAAAAATTGAAACCTGAGGATGAAGAAAAGGCTCACAGTTCCAGTGTTCTAGACTTAAGTAAGCCAGAGATAAAAATTTCAAAAATGCCTGTTCAGAATTTAAGAGAAAAGGCAAGAGCTAAGGCAGCAAGTGGCAGTAAAAGTATCACATCTTTCTTCAAAAAATCGTGAAATTCTCGATCAGGAATCGTTACTAAATTGAAGGTAATTTTGATTTTAAATTAATTCTATTTTTATTTTGCGCCTCACGATAATAATCATTATTTTTTGTGAGATTTGATGCCTGGTTAAATGGCAATATTTTGATTTGTTTTTTTATGCAATACAATGATTTAAAAGGACAGTTATAAAATATTTCGTCCAAACATTACAGAATAGCGGTAGATTACTGAAGCAAAGCAAATGAAACGATGTAGTAGAAAAGTCCGATTTTTGTAAAAGTGTTATTGTTATTTTGGATATTTTTTCTAAACTAAATCGAAATAAGGGGCAAAGAATATTCATACTAAAGCGTAATTAAATAAAATTTTCAGAAACTTATCAAAAATATAAAAGCAAACTTAGGCAATAAGTAAACCATTAAAGGAAATAAATGCCACCTTTATAAGATTAAATAAATGAATCGTAAGTAGAATCTAGTTGTGCTGTAAAACTTGCATTTTTAACTATTATTCAATTTGATTTACTATCAATATAATGAAACAGATTTAAAAACAAAGCGTACACCTTATCCTGCATTACTTGGATTATATATTAACACGGGATAATAAGTACATTTCTAATGAAACAGTATTAAAAAATGTTGGTACAAAAGACATTTTCTTCAAATTTTCGGATATTTTCTACTTTTTCGAATTTGAATTTTCAGGTCATTTTATTCTGTGATACAACTTAATGTATGCTACACAGCAAAACGAACTTGTTATTTATTTACTTTTTTGTGAATATTATTAAATGGCAGGGATGCGCCTCCTCTACTTTATCTTTTTTGTTTCTACTAAATTCGCGTCTTCTAAATGCTGAACACATAGATGAAACTATTGCTTAATCCGAGATTAACAAAAAAGCAAATCTAAGAATTGGAACAAAAAGAATAGATATTAAAGAAAGGAGCAAATCAAAAATATAAAGTATCATAAAATAAATCGGACAAAAGTTGAAAAAAATATAATCTGCTAATGAATGTGTCGTTATAAAAAGTATTAGTTCAAATAATATTAATAAATAATTAATACAAATGAAAACAGCATTTAGCAAATTACGCGGAATCAATACCGTTGAATATATGCATCTTTTTTATTCATTATAATACATACAACTAAATTGTCCCTTTTTTTCATAATTTACTTCTCCTAGTTTGCATCCCTGAAGTTGATGTTTTATACTTTGTATACATAGTTATAATTTGGTAATCTTATTTAATGTTCCTATCGTAGATATTAGCGATACTAGGACTGACTATGTTAGTAAAGTAGGCGCTAAATTGAAATTTAGGAGCTAGGAGTGTTTGGTGTAATTTGTAACAATCAAGTCGTAACTTACAATGACGTATTTTTTTATTGAATCAGTTTGAAATACATGTGATGTGAAGACTTATTTAAAATATTGTTGCTGTGTTTATCCATACTACATTGTGTCAGTTATCCTGATTAAAACACAATAAAAAAATATAAATGTACTTTGGTTATGCCTTACAAAAATATTCAATTTTAATAATACCTTCACGAACATATTATCAAGAAAAAAAAACCAGTGTTACCTACTCATAAGTACAAAATTTTGTCCAAGAACTTTTTTTGCTATTAATATTAGTAACAGAATTATTAATATCAGTAATATAAGAGTTCTGGATGGCTCCTTCAATTTCAGCAGCAACAGTACATGTTTCAGAAATCATTTCTTCATCACATACAAATATTTTTTCATTTATTTTACGTCTCTTACTACCCCCACCTTCCTTTTTGATAGAATGGTTATCACTGCATTCACTATCCATTTGGTCTGTTAAAAACTCTGTCCAATTACTTTTAGTTTTATCTGTATACTGTTTGTCACTTAAGGAACTATCATGAATAAAAGAAAACATAATATCATCTTGTACTTGCAAGTTTAACTGGGTTTGACTTTTTTCAATTCTTTGTTTATTCAGGTTTTGCACGTATGTTCGGCAATCTTTCCCAGATCCTTTAAAGTAAATCTAAAGAGGAATAATCATACTGTAAACTGCATATTCATACGCTTTAAATAAATACAACTAAGATAAAAGTGAAACTTGGTATACAGAAAACTTACTTTTATCGTAGATTGTTTCTCACCACACAATTTACATATCCACTTGGGAATTTTTTTAACAATTTGAACCTATAGAATTATTTTTATTAATCATCTCATTAACAAAAAATATTTAATTATACCTGAAATGTATCACATGAAAAGCACTTTAAAACTTGTAACTCTTGTGGCATTCTTCTACCGATGCTATTCTGGGATTTCTTACAATATTATTTAAAAACATAAAATTAATACTTTATCAAAAATACCGAAAGAAAATTTCTTCTTTATTCTTTGACTTATATACTAATACAGGTTATGGGTGACCATAGAATAGTGGATGTTTGCAGGTTATAGCTATGTATGGCTGATGTTATTGATTTCATTTACAATTGAATGTGAGTAAAATAAAAAAATTGTTATACATTAAGTACTCTTTAATTTATTTAAAATTGATTTGTAGGCGTTTTGTGTTCAATTGAATTAAATTTTAGACATTTTTACAATTTTAGGTTATGTTTATGCTTTAGTATGTTCTTTATATTAATTAAAAACCAATACATTTTACAAGAAGCAAGCTTTTTTCCAGGTGGGCTCTTTATAATGAACACAATGAAAAAAGCACTTCAGTTTTCTTCTCGTCATCCAATGCTAACCTTTAAAAATGTAATTGTTAGAAGTTATGCATTTAAAAGCAATTTGAAAATAAAATGGGTTAGACCTGAGAAAATACCTTGCTTTAAACCTGAAAAAAGCGGCGATTTAGATCCCATGCCGGAATTTGATAAATCACGTTATCAGTTAGAATACGCTAATTGTAAAGAATTAGAAAATGCTGATCCATTGGTGAAGAGATTATTCTCTTTGGAATTTGCATCACGTAGCAAGATTACTCAAGCATACAAGAAAGATCTAGTTGATTCTGTTAAGAATCATACTTTTGATGAAAATTCCATTGAAGCTAGAATTGCTAGATGGACTGGTACTATTCGAGCACTACAAGAAGTAATGGAAAATCATCCAAGAAATAGGAGACTAAAGGTAATATTTTTTTATCCTTAATATAGTGACTACAAATGTTTACATTCAAAGATTACTTATAGGTACAACTAAAAGAAATTATTGATAAAAGAAAGAAATATTTAAAATTTCTTCGAACATGGGATTATAAAAAGTTTGAATGGCTTATAGACAATTTGAATATTATTTATAAACCACCACCACCACAATTTCATTGGATAACCAGAAAGGATTCACTAAGAAAACTTACACAAAAATATTGTGATGATAAAGTTAATGAAAAACTCAGTGCATACAGATTACAATTAGAAGCAGAACAACCTGCATTTCTAGAAGAAAAAATAAGAACTTTGGAGTTCCTTAGACAGGAGCAGAAGGATTGTGGAGTGGAAATAACCATCAAGCAAGAAGAGATTGATGAAGCAAAGAAAAGTTTAGATGAATTACGTAAAAAAAACGAAAAAGGTAAAAGTTCTAGTTAATAAAGTCAGTAGTTATTTATATATCCAAACATAAATAAGACCGAAAAATAAAACTTTTAAGTTTAATTCTGTAAAAGATTTTATTTTCTTTACAAATTGAACAGTAAAGTAGTAGATCTCAAAACTTAATTTTAAAACAATGAGTATAATTAATAATGCCTCTANTATCTGCATTTCCAAACAAATTTTGTACATGTTCACTCATTGTATTTAAAACGGCTTCCAATTTATTTGCATGATTAGCTTGACGGATAAGATCATCATAATTTTCACATACTTGTTTTTGCAATTCTCGGTTTAAAAGCTCTATTCCTTCGCCCAGTTTCTTTACCTGTTCTGCAATTGTCAAGGTTTCTGGAAAATCACTTTTTTATTACATCGTACGGACGGCTGGGTGTCTTTTGAAGATTTCCCCTCTTCCACGAAAACATAAAAAAAAAAATTACAAATTAAAATTGAAAAAGTAGTCTTTGGAAAAATTACTGTTTTTTTGTAAAAATAAATTACCATTAAGATATACTTAAAACTTTATAAGCATTTAAATGAATGATTTATATACATATTTACATTGCATAATTCACTTCTTTAATGCTACGGCTAAAAACTCTGACATTATTGGATAAACAGGATCAAAATTAGTCGAATTCTTTTGACAAATCACATTTTCGTATCTTTGTAAAGCTCCAGCAATTAAATCCGTAAAGTAGGCGCTAAATTGAAAACTGTTCATTAGGAGTGTTTGGTGTAATTTGTAACAATCAAGTCGTAACTTACAATGACGTATTTTTTTATTGAATCAGTTTGAAATACATGTGATGTGAAGACTTATTTAAAATATTGTTGCTGTGTTTATCCATACTACATTGTGTCAGTTATCCTGATTAAAACACNTATTTACATTGCATAATTCACTTCTTTAATGCTACGGCTAAAAACTCTGACATTATTGGATAAACAGGATCAAAATTAGTCGAATTCTTTTGACAAATCACATTTTCGTATCTTTGTAAAGCTCCAGCAATTAAATCCAATCTATAATAAAAAAGAAATAATCATGTACCTCTCAAAATTCATAAATTACTCAAAAATTAAAGATCACCTATCTGATTCCAATGTATGTTTATCTAACCAAGAAGTAAATTCGGTAATTGACCATCCCATATTTTGGTGAGGACTGGCCAGTTCAGGTTCTGCATAAGAGAATAGCAAAAGAAGTACAGTACTATGTGGTACAGAACTACCAGACACTTGACTGGCTACTATTTCTTTAGGGGAGAGGGCTATTAATGTTGCCATTGATTTAAAAAGCCTGAAATATACAACAAATTAAATAACATAAAATTTTTAGTCATCAATTTATCAAAACTACAGTATCAAACATGAAATACTACAGTTACTAGTAAATATAGATAGGAGCATACTGCCAGTTAGTTATTAATGTTACAACTTCTTTGGTTGCATTTTCAATGCAAGACTGGTTCATGGATGTTAAACTATTACTTTCACATTACTAGTAATTTTTAACAAACGACGTGATGGGAACAGACGACTGTTCTTATGAAACAAAGTATGATTGAGATATACCTGTAGGGTCTTCCTAAATCAGTTATAAATGGACATAATGTTCTCAATGTATTCTCTAAGTAATTAAAGTCTGCTTGAAGTCTTAATCGTCCTCCTTGAGAAATAGGCCTTAATATTGATGTATGTTGCACTAAAAGTTCTATACATCTAATAGTTATCTCACTGCATCTAGAAAACAATTAAAATTAGTTACAACTATATCAATTACGTTTTTTTACTGTACTTGTTGGTTAACACTTCTTTGTTTTCAAAAGGAACCAAGTATGTATTAAAGACCCTCCCTACAAATTCTGTAAGTTCTCTCATGTATGGACTACAAGATATTGCGATTTTGTGAGTAGGGATTTGTATTCTGTTCCAGTCCGGCTCTTGATGTATGGTTACTATAATTTTTTCTATTGTGACATTTATAGAAACTAAAATTAAACCACAAACACACTTTTAGACTGACTTCATATAATTTAAATAATAGTTGCATACTTATAAGTGGTTGTAATATTGATGATGTCAATCCATGTATTGATTTTAAACTGTCATCAATTATTTGCACACAACTTTTAGGTAAAGTGTCTTTCATATTAGCCAACATTCTTTGAACTTGGTTTTGCAAGTAAAAAAGTGTATTAGCCAAGTTTATATTTAGTTGTTGAGCAGAGTTTGGAGTACCAGCTATAAAATAACTGTTAAATATTTCAAAATTAAACTATAATTTTTTTCGGATTACCTAGGACTTGAGCTGCTTCCGGACCAACCGCCACTTGTTGTTCTGTTTTTACGCAAAACATACGAATACATTTGGAAACGTTTTTCACAATTTTTTCAGTTAGAACTTCATCTATTAATGCTACGCTTATTTCGCTAAAAGGTATTAAAAGACAAAATAATCAGTATTCGAATATTAGCAAGGGAAACTATATATATAAATAAGAAAAGCTTAATACCACTATATATGCAACTAACGACGTATCTTCCATTATATTTCATCAAAAATTGAAAAAATTCAGTTTGGCTTCTAGTGAAAATCAAAGGATGCGAACTAATGGTAAGATACGCTAGACAAGCAAACTGGTCCATTTCAACTGGCAATTGAGAATACATTGGTGATTTAAAGTTTAATTAAATAGATAAATCAAGTATACTTTCAATACAGGCTACGCAATAGTTCCAGACAATTTGACTTGACTATTGTAAAATTTATTATAATTCATACTATGAGAGGGCATTTGAAAATATAAAAAACAAGAGAGCTATTCTACAGTTCCTGTATCTGATTAAAATTGTTTATAGTAAATCATTGTCATTTAATTGTGTTGAAGTATTGAGGAGTATTTTTTTTTATTAATAGGTGAATACTCACTTAGAAATCGTTCTTAAAATTGAGTCAATTTGATCATGTGACGGAATACTACTCTCTTGAGTGAATACCGCTTGTGTAGGTTCCATCATGCGAGAAAAACTGTTCGATAAGTAGGAGTTTTCGATTTTTTCCAGGTTGTTGCGACTATGTAAAAGAATTAAATCAAATTAAATTTAATTGGAACCGCTATTTAACTCGAAATATGTAAGCACTTACTTAAAAGTAAAATACTTGTAATTCAGTTTATTAATCATATCACACAAAAGCTTGAGAAAATTCGGATAATCGACTTCTAAAGTTTGTGTTACAGCTGGTGAAGAAGAATTTATTTCCTGTAACAAAATTTCAGCAAAAGACTTCCAAAAATTTTCTGCAATAACGCCTTTTTTACTGTCTTTATCGATATTATCAAGCACCGACTGAAGGAACTTTACCTAAAAATGATATATGAATTAAAAAGGAAATACACAGCTAAATAATTTATTTACTTGATTACACTGATGAAATATTTCCTCTCCAAATGCTTTTTCGAGATCAACCCAAACCTTATTACGAAAGCCTTGTGATGAACCTACAGAGGCTTTTCCTGGACCTCCAGAGCTTTTATGTACTATAGATGAACCCACATTTATATCAAATGATGTCTTTAAACTTTCTCTACATTCATGCAGACAAATATCTAAAGTATTCTGAATTACACCTTTAACTGTGCCAAGATTGATAAATATCTGAAAATAACATTTTTAATGAAAATAGAATTATTTCACTTTCACTATTTGTTTTTACCTGTAGTGCAGTAGCTGATTGGGTCATGTTTTCATTGGCAATTCCCTGAGTTAAGGAAATGTTTGCCAAGCGGACAATTTTTTGTTGTTGGGTACGAATATTTCGCAATTCATTTGTTACAGCATCAATGTTGGTTAATTCAGGATCAGATGCAAGTTGCTCTTAAAAATAAATAATTAATTTTAATTCAACAAATGAACAGTAAATGTATTACCCAGATCCTGCAATATTGTTGCTTTTTGAATAGGATCATTTATAGTTGATAGTCTTTTACTTAATTGCTGTATCCTACTAACTTGACGAAGAATATGACTAGCTAAGTGTAATTTTTCTAAAATAAGAGTATGGGTTTCTAGATTATGATATGGCCCCTCAATCTAAAATAAAGTGAGATACATATATATAACATGAAAATCATTTTAGCAATTACTCACTTGGGCCTTAATTCTATCTGCATTTCCAAACAAATTTTGTACATGTTCACTCATTGTATTTAAAACGGCTTCCAATTTATTTGCATGATTAGCTTGACGGATAAGATCATCATAATTTTCACATACTTGTTTTTGCAATTCTCGGTTTAAAAGCTCTATTCCTTCGCCCAGTTTCTTTACCTGTTCTGCAATTGTCAAGGTTTCTGGAAAATCACTTTTTTCCTCGGGATATATGTACTTCTTATAAAAATCTAAATAAGTATGTACTGATTAATTGTAGATTCAAAGAGAATTCCATTAAACAATTACCATCATTTTCTACAAAATCTGTTATTTCTTCATTCATTTTTTCCATTTTACCTACTTCTAATATTCACATAACAACAAAATATTAACATATTAACTTTATTCCCATCTTTATTAATATACGTTCATATTTAAATACTGTTATTATTAGGATATCATATGTGGACAACATGTGAGGTTATCTACTGATACTTGTCAGAATCTATGGTTGTGTCAGACGGTTGTGGTTGCGTTAACGGCGCAGTAAAATGATTTAAAAAAAAAAAATTTGTATGAATTATTGGAAATTGTTAATTTGGATTACAGAATAAATTTCAGTCTCTAATGTAATGTAATTATTGCTGGGTAGTTTCTGTTTTTATATTCTCTATGAGTATTGTACTTTAATATCTTTGATATAACGTAGTTTCATCTGTATTCTATGATCAGTATTATCCGTGATCTGTATCTTGTCATGATCTATGGTCATGATCTTGTTTATGTTCTGTATTCCTGTTTTACGGGGTACATAATAAGTGCAAATTCGGTAAATATCCGGTAATTATCTACAATTTTTTATACCTGCTACCTAAAATCGCTAAAACGATGAATCGGTTTTATTCAAATGCTGTAAATGGTTTCAAGAAAGTATCACATGTTATTTTTGATGTAGATGGATTACTCATCGGTAAGTTAATAAGTAGAAAAAAAAATATATGAACGTCCTGTAAAATTATTATTAGAGGAACCAGTTAAAAAGTTTCTAAATTTTGAGTGCCTCTAAGTTATTGAAGGATTCTTTCATTAGTTTAGTAAACTACACTTCTACCAAGACTTCTATTACAGATACAGAAAATTTGTACACACAGGCAATTCAAAACATTCTTGATAATTATGGTAAAACATTCACTTGGGAATTGAAAGTACAAACAATGGGTCTTGTAGGGAAAGATGCTGCCAAGAAAATGATAGATCTATTTGACCTGCCAATTTCTCATGAGGAATACTATAAACAGCTTACCGAACAATATCAAATTATGTTTCAAAATTGTGAACTAATGCCAGGTATGTGTTGGTTACAGATTCTGAAAAAATATATCGAAAAGCTATTTCTGAAATTGCCAGAAATCATGGAAAACAGTATACGATAGATATACAAGCAAAAATTGTTGGGACTCCTGAACGAGAGTCTTCACGAATTGCAGTGACAGAAATGAAACTACCAATATCTGTTGATGAATTTCAGAAACTATTCCGAAAAATTAGTTATCTTTATTTATCATCTGTACCATTATTAGCAGGTATCACTCATTAATAAGCTTTAAATATAAAATAGCAAAAGAGGTTTAGGTTAGTCCTTTTTGTCCACATCTAATCTTACTAATAATCTGTAAATACAGAAATATTTTAATCATAAGTGGATTTTTTTTTATTTCAGGAGCAGAAAGGATAGTAAGACACTTCCACTCATCCAATGTTCCTATAGCTGTTGCAACTTCTTCAAATGAAGATGCTTTTAGAATAAAGATGCAAAATCATCAAGAATTATTTTCCCTCTTTAATCACATTGTTTGTGGTGGCACAGATCCACATGTAAAAGCTGGAAAACCCCACCCTGACATATTTTTGGTTTGTGCTTCACGTTTTCCTGAAAAACCGAGTCCAGAACAATGTCTAGTATTTGAGGATTCACATAATGGTGTTCTAGCAGCTAAAAGTGCAAATATGCAGTGTGTCATGGTTCCTGATGAAAGATTGACCGATGAATATAGAAAAGATGCTACTGTAGTTCTTAGTACACTACATGATTTTAAACCAGAATTGTTTGGTTTGCCACCTTTGAACTAATATGCTTTAAGTCTTACATTATGTATGTCCACAATAAATGCAATGGGTAGTCAGTATTTTTACTTTTATTTATATTTGACTCAAAAGAATTTTTATTAGCTGTCAAGTATTCAATAGTTTGGATATACATCAAGAAATTTTATTTCAGGTGAATATGTTCAGTCTAACTGTAGTTAAATATTACGTGTTAAAGGATGAGGGTTCATAATGGAAGAAAATGTGCTTTGAAATTGGTGAAAATATAATGATTTAATTAATTCGTTTTTTTTCCATTTCTAGAGCTTGGCCAACAAAAATTATGGTTTTCTTCAAATGAGAGAGAATTAAAGCTAATTCTACACTAATGACTGAGAACACCTGGAAATTTGTTTGGATTCCACTGATGCAGCTAATTGCGAAGGCATCTTTCTTCCTAAACTTGATTTGCTCTTCACACTTTTCAACTTTGGAGCATCACATTCTGCAGTTAATTATGGTGAGAAGCTTTTTTCAAATTTTAGTTGGTAGTTTTAAGTTGTATATTATTTCTTTATCTGTTAAATCACTATATTGTTGACAACAGATTTAAACAAATAAATAAATACAACTTAAAACTACTAACATTTATAAAACTTAAATTAATTTGAACTGTGCTTGAAGTCATTATATTCAAATCACACATTTATTTAAAGTTTAAAATTTTTGCCATTTAAAAATCGACAAGTGACTACACACTCCAAATTTGATACTTTTCGCTTCACTAATTTCGGATGTGCATTGGTAACTCAATGAGGACTCTATACATTAAAAACTTTGAATCTCCTTTCACCTCCGTCTTAAATGATATTCAAGAACATAACTACCAATTTTCGTCTCTTGAAAGACTTCGGAACTGCTGTTTTATTCCCTATTTCATCCCTTAATGATTCACCTTGATAAAAACAATCCAACACATTTCCTTGATTTGTAATACAGTGTTAATGCGAATTAACGTGTCCCTAATTTTCGAAGTTTTGAATTGAGTTTCATCAGTTTTACAACTATTTATCTGCTTCTTAGTGGGTGGAAAATTAATCTATTTTTTAAATTTTATATTTCNATTTGTAATACAGTGTTAATGCGAATTAACGTGTCCCTAATTTTCGAAGTTTTGAATTGAGTTTCATCAGTTTTACAACTATTTATCTGCTTCTTCTTAGTGGGTGGAAAATTAATCAATTTTTTAAATTTTATATTTCTACTTTTAATAGTTTTGGTTCTGTGTTTATGAATCAATCAAATTAATAAATTAATTTTCAACTCCCATTTTACCTCCTATTATGCGGACTATTAAAAACTAAAAAACAGGTATTTTAAATCACATTTTTTAATTTAAATGTATTTACAAAGTTTGAAGTTAATAGAACCTTACGGTAATATTTTTACGTACAAACCGTTAATCCCGGAAATAATTTTGAAAGTAGTACAACCTTATGTTGTAAAAGATCCTTTATGCAAAATTTTATGTTACATCACAACCAGTGAGAAAATCAGCAAATGTTATATATAAAAGAAATCATGAATGGAAAAGTAATATTACGTAGTTAGTATCAGCAATTTCTTATGCGAAATGTATGATGTGTTGCATACATATTTACAAACAATTCTTAAATTTAATTTTTAAACAATTTTTAACACAAAGATAGTGATTAAACAAATAGTTCAGAAAAGTAAATTTCGACCACTCGAAGCAATGGTGCTAACAGTTTCGAGCTCACCATGACTGACAGGGGGGAAGATCTAGTTAGAATAAGAAAAATTCATTATCTTCATTTCTAATGCTCTCCTTTTTGTTTTTATCATCTCTCTCACTCTTGTACTCGATTATTTTTAGAGTTGTTATCAGGCGATGGAACTTGCAAAAACACATATATTTCAATTTTATTAAATGGGATTGAAATCAGCTACGCGATTGGTTAAATTACGAAATATTTGCCGCGAACCGTCGCAGAAATCTAATGTGATGCTTCTGCTCAGCGTTATATTACGTCATTGGTGCTTCATGCAGTAGCTTTCGCAAATCTGTTCATACTGTTCATTACTACGTTTACCAGGTTGTTTTGGGTGTGGCGATATCTCTTACGATTAAATTCAATTTACTGAATTTATTTTCCATGTAATTAGCTTTATTTTATTGCAAATAACTACCTCGGGTTAGCATTTTTCTGTTAAATGAGTTAAAGGTGTTAAATTCATACAGGCTGGTTTGTGAAGTGAATTATCTAATAATCAAATTGTTTTAAAAGTGACGACTCTCCGCCATTTTAAAATTTCATTATTTTACTTAATTTTGGGTGCTTGTTTTTATTTTGTGTCATATTTTATTTATTTAATGCATTTTCCAGTTTCAAAACATGCACGTTTTAAGCTAAATTAACTAAGTATGTCTAAATACCTTTTCATTTTATAGGAACATCATAAAAACTCCAGATGTAATGTGTTACAGAGTATTCCTCATATTAGTCCTTTTTCATTCCATGATATAGCATACATAAAAGGCCCATGTAAATGATTTTTTCAACTGGAAACAGATACAGTGTGCTACTCTTGCAAACAACTAAATGGTAAGTAACGTGAAATAATTTTTATTGATTATTTAATTTTTGAACATAGCAGATGTTTGTGGTAATTAATGGCACATTTTTTGTCAGCAATTTTTTTTTCTTATTATTCACGCCTCCAATTTACAATTTTGCTTGCTTGTAAGTTCGTTTTTTCTTATTGTATAGATTAGGTTTTAACGACTTGATTTTGTTTCTATAATACAGACTTGCTTAGAGACGACATCCTTGGATTATATGGGCGCACTACTTTGATTTATTTTTATTTCCAAAAATGCTTCTGATGTGCAGGTTTCTATGAAAACATAATAAACACAGCAATCGAAATGTGGAGAAACACAGCCCCACTCACACTTCGCTCTCTTGGACTTGGAATGGAGTCATTTGCGGAAAAGGTAAGAAATCAGTAATTATTTTATGAAGTTGTGTTTGTGAAATGATTTGTGATTTTCCAAATCGTGTATTTCATTTGTCTCACAATAATTGCTACTGAAATTTTTTACTCATCTGAATTGTAATACTTGGATGGTATTATTCTTAATGTTTTAAGACAAAATAGTTAAGATAAAACTAACATTAAATTGTTTCAACAGGTTATCATTTAAACTTATTAAATGAACAAGGAGACAAAAAATGAGAAGGATTCAAAATGTGGAGAAGTGGAGCCCTGTTAGTGTTCCATCCTTTTAGACTTACAAAGTGCAATTTCAACAAACAAAGTCCAATACATATTGGTGTACTTAGGAATAAAAGTTGAGCATCGTACAGTTATCCTCGGTGTAAGTTATTGCTTTACGGTTTGTTGTTTTTATGGTACTTAATTTTCATAGTAATTTGCCATGTCTGGCATCTATGGTTTTTCTTCTGTAACAATTATCTATTGTCCATATCTATGATTTTCTTCTACCAATTATCTATTGTGTACAGTACCTATGATTATTTCTATTGCCTTTATCATTTATCTATGTTGTGTATAAAATTGACAGCACATCGCCAGTTTATAATTTAGGTAGTTTACTTGCTTTTTCGTGTATGTTTTTATTGTATTTCATTTTTTAGTTAATTTAATCCCTTCTTTAATTAATAATGTAATTAATATTTGTTTTTGCCCGTTTGTGCAGATCGTCTAAATGATGAGAAAGAGAGAATTAAAGTTCACATTGATGGTACTGAAACAGCCAAGGTCTTGTTTTGATTTGGTGTTTTCGTCTTCATCTTGCAACATTATGCATTTAATTTTCAACAGTTGAGTGAGAGGAAAAGGAGATTCCACTGAAACAAGTTTTCTGCTATGATATTCCTTCTGGATTTAGTTTGCTTTTCACACATGCAAACTTGGGAACGTTTACAGTAGTCTACTGTTTGCTAAGGTGAGAGTATTTAATATAATCAGTATTAATTGCTCTTTATTAATCTGTTACCACTGTATCTGTTTCAGATCGACGCTGGAGAAGAAAAAGAAGACCCCGTAGTTAAAATAGTTCTTTTGTCTTGCATGCTCCACCTAATAGAAATAATTCTTTTAATCCAAATTCAGATTAATTTTTTATTTTGCGTGTTTTTTTTGTAGTTAATTTGAATTAGTTTTTTATTTGCATGCTTATTTTTGTTGATTTTATCTCAAGTAATTGTTGATTGTAGATGTTTTTATTATTTTTTTGTAATAGTAGTAATGTAGTAGTAGTATTTACTAACACGTTTAGTAGTTGTAGTATAGTCTAACCGTGCTTACCTCTTCGCTTAGCTTACTGCATATTCTTCCTAATTTGCTTTGCATTTACCCTACGAGTTCTACATGATTCAACGTTTCGTTATCGTGTGTGTTTCTTCTCACCCTTGTGGAATTAGGGAGGGCCTCCCCGAACGACTTCCCTTGGGCTTAGCTATTTAGTTGATCTTAAAAGTGTCTTATACNAGCTAAGCCCAAGGGAAGTCGTTCGGGGAGGCCCTCCCTAATTCCACAAGGGTGAGAAGAAACACACACGATAACGAAACGTTGAATCATGTAGAACTCGTAGGGTAAATGCAAAGCAATTTATAGTGAGAATATGCAGTAAGCTAAGCGAAGAGGTAAGCAAGAGACATGTTAGACTATACTACAACTACTAAACGTGTTAATAAATACTACTACAACTACACTACTACTATTACAAAAAAACATTAAAAGATCTAGAATCAAAAATTAATTCAAATAAAATAAGCTAAATTAAGCATGCAAAATAAAAATTAATTCAAATAAAATAAACTACAGACATGCAAAATAGAGAAGCATTTGAACTGCGGGATCTTCTTTGTCTTCTCCACCGTCGATCTGAAACAGATAAGGTGGTAGTAGATTAGTAAAGAGCAATTAACATTGATTATATCATGTATTCTCACCTTAATTAACTACAGAATGTAACGTTCCAATGTTTACAAGTGTGGAAACCAAAGATTTGTTGTTCCAATGGGGTCCAAATAAATTTCCAGTTGCCCATTCATCAATCGAAAATTTTGGAATATTTGGTCAACAGGAGATCATGAGTAGAGTCCTGGAAACGATCCCATTGTAGTTATTCGTTGCATAAGTAGCATTAAAATTGACTTTCTCATTTGTTGGCCAATCTGTATAAACGAACAAGAAAAACGAATTAAACGCAAGTAAAACAGTAAACTGTTCAAGATGATGCCTACGTGGGATCATCAATTTTGATTTAATTTAGACGATTATGCGTAGGTGAATGGAAAATTAATAGATTCACAATGAACCATTAATAAGGGAAATAAATAGCTATGTCCAAAAACTAAACTTTTATTAAGAATTGTTTTCTTATTTTCTCTACTTCTGATTCTCACATTAAAGTTAAAATATGTAGTGTTTTTATTAAGGTTTATAAAGAAGATTAAGATAAATGCTATATGCTGGAAAGAATGTAGTTCTAAATATTCTGTTCTCCTCTCGACATTTCTGAAATGATACTTAAAACATGAGTGTTGAAAGTAGATTGGAAACATCTGAGAGATTGAGTGTCAATTGTTACCTACCTATTCATTCTAATAAATTCTTTCTTTGACTACAATAACACATTGCCTTTCTTCGTAGTGGAAAAAAGGCACTTTCAGACCTCATTTGGAAACTGCTACATCCTGGAGTAAAAATGGAATGATATGGTGAATGCTCCAAAACACATGGCATCCAGAGTTTTTATCATTGTCCTGTAAAATGAAAACTTAGGAAAGTATTCAAATAGAACAAATTTAGTAACACTTTAGCGTAAAGTAAAGCTTCTCTTTTCTTTGTTTATATCTAATTTACTGTATAACAAAATAAATAAATAAAACATGAAATAAAATAAGAACAAGCACCCAAAATCATGTATTCTTACCTTAATCAATTAACTGTAGAATGTAACGTTCCAAAGTTTACAAGTATGAAAACCAAATAATTTGTTGTTTCGTTGTCGGTGGGAGGGACCAAATAAATTTCCAGTTGCTCTCATTCATCAGTTGAAAATTAACTGCAGAATTTTGTAACATTATGACGTCAACAGCAGATCAAGAATGAAGTCCAGGAAAAACTATCCCATCAGTACCATTAACATTAAGTAGCATTCTTTCTCATTTGTTGGTGAATCTGTATAAGAGAACAAAAAAAAACGAATTAACTATAGTATAAAATAGACAATAAGACAACATAAATATATAGAATAAAAACGCACATAAAAGCAAATAAAGTAGTAAAAATTTTAAAATGGGGACATGGACCTTACTAAATTTGCAAAAATATGGTAAATTGCAAAAAAAATGTGCAAATTAAGTTGGTCCTAATTATTTAAAATTAATATGTACCTATGTTTTTGATCCCACCATAAAAAACTGGTTAACATGAAAAACAACATCTTAAACATTATTAAATAAACTCACTTCTGTAAATGAAATTGGCTCACTACTTTTTTCCATAGGGATGCTCCAAAAGGATGAATTTCCTCCACATTTCTAGAAAGGGAATCAGAAGTAGCTGTAACCTGGAAGTAAAATATAATAGTTATATTACCATTTAAAAACAAGNATATATATTTATGAATAAGTGCAATTAAATAAAAGCTTTATCTTTCGACAAAATCAGCAGGGAATTACAAAAAAATTGCATATAGGCTAATTTGCTTTGAGAAGATAGATACATCAACGTTTTCGTTTTATAACGATAATAAAACATCTTTAATAAACCGTGTTCTAAGACTATTACCAAAGTGATTTTTTGCCGAAGAACTTTTTATATGAGGAAAACTATAATAAGAAATTTAATTATTTAACAAAAATGAGAAAATTTGTAAAATCAATCATATAAAAATTCTCTGTTGGAATAAGCAGAAATAGTTTTATTGTCAAAAAATAATTTAAAAGAATAATTTTCAAGTTGATACTTAATATTTTAGAAATACAAAAGGCAACTAAAAAGTTAAATATAAAGTACATAAAGTTACGAACATAAAACGTTTTCCATTTTAATACGATTTTAATTTATTTGGCAAATAAGTAAAGCAATAAAACGATTATAATATATGTGTATTTGGAATTTTCTTTATTTCCAAAACACGTAATTATTCTTCAACGCTGCAGTTCTCTTATCTCAATGTAAACACACTGTGGATGCTCTGAAGGTTGAAAACAACGGATTTTTTGCATGGATTTTCATGGTTCAAAAATTTTTATCCTTAAACGATTATCTTTCGATATTTAGCCTTAAAGGAACTGACTGACTGACAACAAATCAAATTTTAATCCTGATGTGCTTTTATATTCTCTGACGTAGCAAAAAATAATTTTGGAATTTTCGAAACCTAAAGAATCATAGCTGCTTTTACAATAGTACCAATCTATTGAAAACAGTTTTCATTGACGAAATTATAATTCTAGGAAAAAAGAAAATAACACGAAAATGACTACATGCCACTCAGTTATTTTTGGAAATTTAGCTCCCATCTACATTTGGATTGAAATTAATAAATAGTACAACCCTAAAATAAAATCTATTTAAACAGTTTTTTGTTTATACACAAGAGGTAGGCACGTTAATTTATACTTTCGAATTAAAGATTACTGATAACGAGTACACTACAGATTTAATAATGAGCACCCCTTAAACAATATAGGTATGAGCCAAATTGATGATATTTTAGAATAAATGTAGGTGTATATTACATCCAAATATTAGAAAGAAGCCCCAAAAAATACTAACAACAACTTGAGGCTATAAATCTATTATACTGGTGCAGGGAAGACAACTGAAAAAACTTTACCTTTTTAGCAGTAATAGGAAGCCATTTTCTACACAATTTTTTTGCGCAACATTCGCAACCTACGTTCGAAACTCTTCTAATTATTTTAAATTTAAGGCTCTTTGGAACAAACGTCGCTGCTTTCGTGTCAGATACAGTGTGATATGAGAATGATACAGAACAAAGGAATGTGAAATACGTAAACATGTGGCGTAACTGGACAGAATAGTCTTTTTAACTTTGACCTACTATACAAAGTCATCGCGATATCGCTGAGATCACAACTACATTTTATCTCTAATTGTAAACGAATTTATTGTGGAGTACATTAAAATACACAGCACGTCCAAATGCTAATCCAAATCCAAATTTTATCCACGAACAATATAACAAAAATAGGGTTTTATAGCAAATGATAAGTTTAGTTTAATAATGATTACTAGCAGGGCCGACGAAATGCATTGAACAAGTGTGAGAAGTGAAAGGGAAGTGATAAAAGGAAGGACCTTAGATAAACAATAAAAAAAACTGAGCATAAATGATGTCATTTCAGCGCTCTTTTATGTTTAAGTTATGTTAGATATATCAAAAATAATGCCTAAAGGCACTCTAAAACCGTTGGCACCATGAGATATAACGTACATTTTTACATTAAAATCCCCTCTCAAAGCTTAATGAATACCTTGCATCTCCTAATAATTTAACGAGCCCTTTTCTATGTTTAATTATTTTATATATAATAATGCCGAAAAGTACCCATTTGGTACCGCACTCGAAAACCGTTAGTACCACGAGATTCTACGTACTTTTTTACAGAATAATCATTTGTCAATGCTTACTAAATACCTTCCATCTCCTAATAATTTCACGAGCGCTTTTTTATGTTTAATTATTTTATATATTTTAGCAAAAATAATGCCGAAAAGTACCCATTTGGTACCGCACTCGAAAACCGTTAGTACCACGAGATTCTACGTACTTTTTTACAGAATAATCATTTGTCAATGCTTACTAAATACCTTCCATCTCCTAATAATTTCACGAGCGCTTTTCTATGTTTAATTATTTTATATAAATTTAGCAAAAATAATGCCGAAAAGTACCCATTTGGTACCGCACTCGAAAACCGTTAGTACCACGAGATTCTACGTACTTTTTTAC